AGACCCGTGATACGTGAATGAGGGTGGGATGGTGGAGAGGGACCCCATTAAAGGGCTATATGTTAGGCGCTCGCGAAATAATCATGTTTCTTGCTGAAAAGTGCTTGATTCGAAAGGTTTAGGACCTTCGGGGATCCACGTGGATGCAGGTTTCGCCGTCTTCGGTATAGAAATTTCCTACTGACTAGTTTTTCTCCACGGGGAAGCGGAATTAATGAGATAAGTGAAGTTGGACTTTAGGTTTAAACGCAGTGTAACTTTGCTGGCACTGGAGGGAGTTGTGCTCGACAGCGTATGAGCCATTTTCGGCGTCGTGATCTGCTTTTGAAGAACTTTTATATGGATGCTGAAGTTTTCGCCTATGACCAATCCCTTTTTGGGATACGCCGTGCACTTCATTTCCATTCAGAGTTGCAGGAGCTTATTGAATCGGATGAGCCGTGACCATTACTTGCGGGGCCCTGCCGATGTGCAAGTCAATGTTCGTATCCTCTCAGACCGATCCGGTACCAATTTACCGTCTCCAGAGGGAAGAAGGTGTAGTTGGTGTGGACGGTAGCCAAACCGGTATTCGACCCCGGACCGAAGTATGCCACTTACTACTCACACTTCCGCCTTGAAATATCAGTAACAATTAAGTTAACTTGTATACCTGACCTGAAGCAGCGCGTGCCAGTTTTGGGCCTTTATTTCACTGACCGTCAGGGGAGCCTTCGATGGTGACAGTGGATGAATGACGGACATATACATCGCCTACGCTTCTTTTTGCATGCGTCTCTAAAACAGAGTTTATTCCGCAGTCACTTAAAGCTCTGGCATTTCGCGGTCTAGGGATAGGATTGCGAACGGACCCGTTCATACCCCAACCAAGTTTGACGTCGCTTGAGACAATCAAACTATAAAGCGATTATAGGACCGCAGCTCTCCAATAAATCCACTGGTAAGTAGGCGGGGTCGTCGGGGACGGGGTCAAGTGTACCTATGAATAAACGTACATTTAACGGTGTATATGTGTGACATGATCCGGAGGTGGTGTAGTGGCAAGTGGTGCGCTTACCACTTGCGCCCTGGGTTCTAGTCCCACGTCGATACCCGCCCAGGCCAACCAAGCCTTCTACCCTCCGGGGACGGTAAATTGGTACCAGATTCGTCTGGGAGGATAAGAACACTGACTTGTACATCGGCTGGCCCCGCAAGTCATTGTATAGGCCACATCGCATTCAATAAGCCACTACGATTCTGAATGGAAGTAGAATGCGTGCCGCATCCCACAAAGGGATTGATCAACAGATTTATACTTTATCCTTTATATGTGATGTATGAAAATTTTGAAAACAGTATAGGTATATTGATTATGCTGCGGCAAAAAGGGCGCGCTTATCTGAGAGCGAGTCCACAGTGTGCACGTACAGTCCTCATCATTACGTACTGTCGGGGCGGTTCAGTGCGGCTGCGTTTGGCGCGGGCCAAAGTCGTTCTGCACCAGTTGTTGAAGCGGGCAAGTGACATTACTGTATTATATCCTCCGTATTACTCGTTTGCTGTATTATCTCCTCCGTATTAGGCAGCGTTCATACTTGTAGCGCTACAGCGTCGCGCTACAGCGTAGCGCGGCTACAGCGTAGCGCTACAGCGCCGCTTCGCAACGTACTGCTATTTCCAACGTTAGGATGATTAGAGTTGCTTACAGAGAAAAGTGGGAAGGTTGCTGGAGTTTTCTTGAGAAATTCACGGAAAGGTGAGACTGATACAGCTGTAACTATCTGACCATCCTTGACAGTTACTCCATTAGTCACTATTTTTCTGGTACTGCTTTTAGCGTCCTTAGCGTCAGTGTCCTTCTGTCCTATTTTAAGAGCATTTTTCTTTGCCAATAAAACAACCCAAAGAGTTACTTTGTGCACCTAAAAACAAGCACGATCGCTTTTTTTACCTGAGACACAAGAACCACAAAGGATACTCTTTGTTTGCCTTGTAGTTAAATGCATAATGACCCAGATTCGGTCTTCGCGTTGCCTTTGTGGGAGATATGGCATTTTTTTTTGCATGCGAACAAATGCTCGACTGAATACTGTGTTTTGGTCTTGGCCATCTGCTACGTGGATTGCCAAAACGTATTTATTTCGTCAATCGGAGCTAACGTTGAGGCACCAGGCTGCAAAGGCATCAACCAAAAAGCCATCAACACAATAGCAACTCTTTTGAAACCAAATAATTAAAGTCAAAAACGGTAAATAAAACCAATTATAACGGTCTTCTGTATCAAAAACTACATTAAAATGTGATAAAGTAGAAAACAGGAGCTCACTACCAGATAATATGAGTAAACAAGGAACGAGGGCTGAATACAGAAAGAATGAATACGATCAACTGCCGCATTTGTTTGCGATTATTTGAGCGAAACTGCTTTTTTCGCCCCCAATCTCCGCCTGGATCACAGGAAAAACATTTATGCCGGTTTTCGAGGCATTCACAGCCAACAAAGCTTCGACAGTTTCTTGTATTTTTACGTACTTTTTTTTTTTTTTGGCCTGGGCGGCCAGTATTTGTAGTCGCATTTGTCGGCAGCAGAAAAAAAATGGCCTTTTCTCCCACAACAGGCACGCGAAGACTGTCTGGTCACCAATGCGTTAACACAAGGCAAACAAGAAGTTCCTTTATGGTTCTTGTGTCTCCGGTAAAAAAACATGCGTGCTTGTTTTTAGGTGGCGCGAGTACTCTTTGGGTGTTTTTTGCAGAAAATGCTTCTTTATTTAGGAAGAAAGGACACTGTTGCGCCTAAACAGCAGCTTACGCAGAAAAATAGTTGCATAATGGAAGTAACTGTCAAGTGATCGTCCAGATAGTTGCAGGCTGTTATCAGTTCTCACCTTCCTCGTGAATTTCTCAAGGGATACTCCAGCAACCTTCCCGACTACTTTCTCTGCTGTAAGCAACTCTAATCATCCTAACGTTGGAAATAGCAGTACGTTGCGAAGCGGCGCTGTAGCGCGACGCTGTAGCGCGACGCTGTAGCGCTACAAGTATGAACGCTGCCTTACTCGTTTTCTACCACTTTTTGTCGCATACGCGTTTCAACAAAAAGGCTGAGAACGGCTTCAACAGTGTGCACACTCATACTGGCTGACACGCCCCACCGGTCCGCAATGATGAGGACTGTACATGCTTGCCGCTTCGCTCAAGAAAAAAGCGCTCCGCGAAAGGTTGCGCCAGTGGTGTCAATGAAATGACCAAGAGGATTTTCCTGTTTTAATGGCTTGGAGACATCTTCAATGATTCTTTGTAAGATTCTACTGCAGTAAGATAGAGCTGAAGTGAGGGAGCTGTTGGTAAACTGGTTTCAATTATGTTTGGAAATATTAAATGAGAATGCTGAAGAAGTTTGAATTACGCTAAGGTACCGTCGGAAATCTTCCCATTCAATTCAACTACAAGCTTCACTGGAAAGGTTAACTTTTCGAGGTACCCTTGAGTTCAATGCTATGTGATGATAACATCCTCGAGTTCGTCGCAAAAAGTATTAGGTTGGCGGGAAAGTTCTGTCACTTTTTCGAACTCAAAATACTTGCCCATTACCTGAAGAGGGGTAACGGTAATGTGAGCACTTATACATCAAGGAGTGGTCTTTCTATTAGTACCACTCGCTTGACTCCTGCTTCTTCTTCTGCAATATGGACAAGAATGTTTATCCGCTACCATCGGCACCGACCGACGACCTCAGTTATCGGACAACCTTCCACGACGCTAATGCTTCAAAGCGGGAGCCTACAGTTTTGATGACGAAGTGAGGTTTGGGTTACCTGTGAACTCAGATTGAGGGAGCTGCGGGTCGTGAAACTGCTGGATGAAGAAGCTGCTTTCGGTCAATGCGTACGCAAAGCAGCTACGAGATCTAAGCGTATCGTCGATCAGAGGGAAAAATTTGTCCGCACAGCCCGCCCTCATCATGATAGT